AATATGGACATACTTGAAACGTTATATTTATGTTTTAACAGTTAAATTACATATTTGCTCAGTTTCAGAGGTTTAGTAAATAGCAGGTTGATTTTATATCAAACAGTTTAAGTTAAAATGAAAAATAAAATCATAATCAGCATGACTGGTAACAGAAGACTGGCTGTTATTACCGCTGCTGCTTGCCTAGTGAGAGACCTGCTGATCAGAACAGACCTGAAAGTCTGATGTAGGCATGGTTGGCTTGAAAGTTAGTTACCCTCTATCCGTCTGACATAATTAGTATCATAGCTTCAATAGAGTTCCTATGGTTGTAACCCAATTAATTTACTTTAAGGTTCCAATAAGCTGCTAAAGCACCAGAGGTGATAAGATGTTTTGTATTATTTTACGTCTTACTAGCTGCAAAGAATAAGTTTTACAACATTTCTCTGCTGTATCTTGTGACTACGGTAAGGATTAATGAAAGGCTATAACTTTTAAGGGTGAGCAGTTAATGACAAATAATTAAGTAGTTAGATACTCTTAGTCATTAAAGATTTACATGGCCACTACTAAATTAAAAAAAAAAAAAAAATTGTTTTGAAGCCTTCCCAGACATTTTGGCTAATTTACATTAATTTCCTTTTCTTTAAGCATCTTTTCTAACAATTAGAAATTTATTTCAATATGCAAACCAGTGTTTCCCCTAGTTTCTGCATGCTTTATGTTCCAACTTGTCAATCTCTCGATAATTTACCTAATAAGGTTTTCCTTGATCTGTAAGTTAAACAGTCCAAAATCCCTGACAGAAATGAATCAAATTATCGTTATGTTTGAAAGTAACTACACAGTCAAATAAAGGTTCAAACAAGTCTCTTATTTAAAAAGAACTTAGAACATAAAGGCACGCTCTTATGCTAGCAAAATACACTACATCTCATGGGTGATATAGAAACAGTTGAATTCAAACTAAACAGGTCGTCTACTAATTAAAGACTGTACAATTTAATTTTTAATCTAAGTTGGCTCAGTAACTCTATCATCATAACAAATTCACTTGTCAGCACACGAGTAATTACAAATTATCACAGCTGACAGGAACTACTGCAATGTGCAGCAAGCAAAGGGGAAGTTATAAATAACTGACTAATTTACATAATAATAACTGTACATATCTCTGAAGAACAATTTTCTCTTTATGTAGAATTTTTTGATTTAATTAAAGATTTCTGTTATTCTAAAATACTAAATGTTTTTAGAATGTAGTTGTTGCTAATTTAATCTCTTTAAGTAACAGAATTATATATATTATAGGTCAGTTACACAGCCGGCGTGGCAGAATTTTTAGAATTTATTGACACATTGAGCAACAAAATCTACAAATGGCAAAAATTTAGGACAGGTGTTGGGAGCAGAATTTAAGAAGGCACTAGGTTAAGAGAAAAGGTTAGAAAATAAAAGGAAGACACAGTATCAGAATTAAAACATTCAGATATTATGTTTTCCTTGCTCTTCTGAAAATTCTCAAAACAGTAAGAAATTCATCACAAATTTTCTGGAATCTTTTAGATTAATGGGTCTATAAATCTTTCCTTCAAATACTTCTAAACTTTTCTAAAATCCTTAAGAAAATCTACCCCCTACCAATTCTGAAACAGGACTATGTTATTCAGAATTTGACGTCTTCAAATAACGTTTTTTCACAGTTGGAGATACATACATTCATGCAGATTCTTCATTACTTAATAAGTTAATAGACCTTCTGGGTAATTTTACCGAGAAAACTGATGCACATTCTGAGACAATTATATGGGAAAACTCTTACCATGAAAAAATTAAAATGAAGACTTTTTTAATTAATTACATAACTATTGTGCTTAGAATCATTTCTTAAAATATGCTAAAGCACAATCTAATCATTTATTACATTGTTTATTTTTCAGATTCAAAATATTGTATAAAACAACACTAAAATTGAAAGCAAGGTCACTATATAACATTACATCAAAAATAATGTTTTATTTTAATGCTATTTCTTAAATATAACTTCAATATACTACCGTAATTTTACCAAAATCCATCAATGTTAAAATGTTTTAAAATATCATCGAAAATTCCCAGATCTCGGAATTAAAATTTTCTGCAGCAACTGATCTCAAAATCGCAAATTTTGAATCGTTTAATAAAATAATTGACATCCCTAAAAGCGAAAAGTTGTTCAAAAGCTCTTCATTAGAAAAATGAAACACTTTCTTAAAGCTTATGCTTCACTATATTAACATTATTTTGATGAAATTTATTAATATTATAATGTTCTAAAAAATCGTTGAAAAATTCACAAATCTCACAATTAAAAACTTTCTATAGAAGCTGATGTTAAAATTGCCAAATTTGGAACCATTTAATAAAAGAATTTACATCCCCAAAAGTGAAAGTATATTATAATGTCCTTTGATATTATAATATTAAAGGAAAGCATTATAATGTTCTAAAAAAATCGTCGAGAAATTCACAAATCTCGTAATTAAATATTTTCTATGGTCATTGATCTTAAAAATCACCAAAAATGTCAAGTCGCCAAATTTAGAAATGCTTAATAAAAGAATTTATATCCACAAAAGGGGAAAGTTGTTTAAGAGCTTTTCATTAGAAAAATTGAAATAATTTTGAAATGCTTCTCTTTTATTTCTTGCCCAGAAACTAATATCACATCGCTTATATTAGAAATACGAACAAATCATAACCCATTCAAAAGATAACCATATTTGTCAAAGAACGTCGAAAATATTATTCCAAAATGCTTATTCACATTCAAAGTGGCTGTCGTAAAAACAGACAGAAACTTCAGATGATTAAAATTGCGAATCTTTTGCGATTTTGGGCGAAAGTAAGGTGTTTTAATGACCAAAAATCGATCCCCCCCCAGAAAAACCTGAGGACTTCATGAGTACGTACTTGTAACTAATCTTCCTCCCCCCCACACACAGTGAGAATGAAACAACCACTAGCTTTATGCTTATTTATCAAGAATTATACTCAAATGAATGATCTAAACTCAATTTAATATGGTGTATTCTATTGTTGTGCACCAATGGTACACAAAAATATTCCCAGGCTCTCTACTGAAATTCAAATGCAACCATGGTAGTGGCAGAAAAATCAACCCCCTCCCCAGACAACCATCTGAAATGATCTAATATTTGGACTTCATGACTGCTAGTAACTACTTTTTTCCCCAGTGAGAATGAAACGGCCACTGGAAACCTATTTATCAAGAACTAGACTCAAAGATCTAAACCCAATTTAATATGGCGTATTCCACCAGCAGTGGTACTTAAGAACATTCTGCTAGAAATCAAATGCGAATGCAGCTCCCAGACTCCTCTGGCTAAGCTAAAAAGTGGCTACCTTAAAAAAGCCTCTCCTTTGTGAGTGGCAGAAAAATTCACCCCGTTTTAAAAAATGCAAAAATGCTGTGACTATCCAGCTTCACTGGATCACATTCCAAGCTGCATCAGACTTCTTAAGAGGGACTTAACATCCAATCCCCTTAATATTAGATTTTTTTTTGTGGTCAACAACCTTTTGAGGATTAGCAACACAACATCCCCCCGCAAAGCCTGGGAAAGGTGAAAGCACGTATGCCACACCTGTGATTTTTCTCCTGTTTAACTGAGAGTGATATATCTAACTCCTGAATGTCATTTTTAAAAACCTCCTAGTTGGGGAATTGCACCATGGCCAATGACAATGCACTGTCATTAGGCCGACCACACTTTCAGCCTTACATGCCGAAAAAAAGAGAGAAAAATTTACAATTCAAGTAACTTCAGTTAACATAGCTAATTGCATAATTTCTTATTTGATGCATCTTTTTTTTTTTTTTTTTTTTTTGTTCTAGCTATTATAAATTTTGTAAAAATTACACTTTTAGTAAAAGATAACATTTTTTTTTTCTTTTTTTCCTGCACACACTGAAATGAATATACAAAGTACATTCTTAAAACTGGTGCTGAAGCAAGACCATATGGGGTATTGCACGATCAACATACCTTCAAATATTTTTAGAAATGCTCAACAAAAAAAGTACTAGATGAAGCTGATGTAACTTAATCCTTACATTATGATGAAATGCCTCAATAAATTAATGGAATGGCGACCATCGGTAGTATTGTTTCAATAATGACTTTTTTTAAAAATAATTTTTACATGTCATCTCATCAGATTAAAACTGATGACATAAAATCCAGAAATTTTCAAAACTGTTGAAGTCCCAACAAAGATCTCAGACTTTGTGCTATATTAAATTTGCCAAGAAATCTAATAGCAAGCCATTACTTCCAAGCATGCAACATTCTGTCAAAAAATCATCAGTGTTCTAACAGACACTGCACATGACATAACATGTACAATGGGAATGCAATTTTAATAGCAATCAACAAACTAAAATTATTCAAGGAAAGTCTGCACAGAATAATATGCTTTTCAAACATGTGAGAGGAGGGGGAACTCCCCCATTTAACTGTTCTGCTGATGTCAAAAAGGGCACCAAAGGATCATTGTCAGTATGTCAAAGGGTCAAGGCTGATAGTAAAGTATTGTTAAGCTTGTAAAACCCTTATAAAAATATCATCATCAAGATTTATATAAGCAATAAATATCATAATAACGAGCAATAAACACTATCATTTTATATTTTCAGCACATCCCATAGTAATAAAAATTCAGCAATTTTCATCAAATATTTTTTTAATAACTGCAAATTATCATATTGTTCACCATTTTACAAAATATTTCAGTGGGATCATCAATTGATTAATCGCAAAACTTTTTTTTTTTTTAACTGAAACATACTGCCTTTTATTTTCAGGCCAGGATTGATGGAAAATAATGTGAGCAAATTTCTGTTATGCAATACAGTTGAGATTAATCTTTTTAAGATTCAAATGTTCCCCCTCCCAACTTTCTAAAACCAGGTTAAAGTGTGAGATAATGTAACATATAAAACAAGAGGACAATCCAAATTTAAATCAGCATTTTATTTTCCGAATTTCATTCCTGGAAAAGAAAGAGAAAAGAATTATTTCTTCATCAAATAAAATTAACACACAGAGAGACATATATAAAAAAAGCAATACAACACACACATTTTTTCCACTAATCTGAAATTCTATAATTTTAGCTATTCATTGAAAAATCAATTTTGAATATAACACTAATTGCTATATTATGGTAAAAAATAGGAAACAGCCTGCACTGAGTTAGTTCCATATTTAATTATATTTATTAGTAAAAAGAAGATGGTCAAATTATTTCAAGGAGGTATTTAAAGATTATATATCTTTTGCAAGATCCTGAAAAACAATGACAAATATTATGTTAGCTTGTTACTAAGATGTAAGCCTAGCCTACATTACGGAATGTTAAGTAACTTTAAGCATTTACTGACCTACTACTAGCTGAACACAAAAGCATCCTGTTGTAAATTAGCTCAAGAACTGATGATTCTTGACAATTTTTTGGGAAGCATGGAATTTTTGATTTTTAAGAAAAATTATTAGTACACTCAAGAATTAATACATATACAAATAAATTTCTGCAAATTATTATGCTAAACCTAAAGGTTGTTCTGAAACTCAGCAATAGCCTCTTGATATGCGAATAATTGGATCCTTTAAAATTAAAATATACAGTGGTACCTCAATATATGTCTGTTTTGAAATAAATTTAACTTCACATACACCCTGATTGGAAGCAATAATTTTTGCTTGGCATGCCATTTTGGTTTTCAATACAACTCAAGTTCGAAGAGTCATGGCTGTGTGAACTGTCTTCATTTACAAGACTACAACTGCCCATAGACATGAATGCATATGCTGCTATTATTCACAAAACAATTTGTGCTATAATTCTTGAATTTTCATATGATTTTAAGATTTTTTTGGTATATTTTTTTAACAATGAGTTTTCAGAAAGTTAAGAACAATCAAACAATGGAGAAAATAGGATCACCACAGATGTAAAAAAAAAAAAAAAAAAAAGACTGAAGAAAGAAGATGACATGCATATCCAGGGCTTTGCTGTTGCATACACTATGTCAAGAGCAGTAATATCTACAACAGTGAAAAATCGAAGATACCAGCCAGCATTGGTATACGGAGTGAAATTGATAACCAAGCAAAGATCAGAGACATTACAGGATGATGAGGGATTACTTTTGATCTAGATAACAACACATGCACTCACAAAAATAAACATGTACAGTATATATATTTCTCCCATTGCATTTTTTAGTGTTAAACAAAAATATAATAACAGGTTTTTATATTACTTTATTTTTTTTTTAGAACAGAGTTATTACTTCCCCTTTATTTCTTATTGTAAAAGTTTCTCTGGTACATACATGTATAAGGATCTAGAACTGATCAATGACAATATACCTCGGTAACTATAGCAATAATATCGAAATATTTGGAACCGAAATGTAAAATAGGATATTTATTCTTTTAAAACAACATGTTTTGATGGAAATTTACAGAATAAAGTGACATAGAATACAACACATACTTGACTTAAAAAAGAAAGAATATAGTGGAAATATATTATGCATGTTCTATTATTATGCTAATGACAAATAGATCCTTATATTTTTGTATCAGTACTTTGTGCACGTACTAATTTATTAAACCAAATCTTAATTGCTAACAAATTATTTTGTACATAAAAAATGTACTGCTTTCAATGTTCATCATTATCATTAAAAAAATGGAGAAAATCAAAGCCAGAAATTTATGAAAAATGTAAAATATTAATACAGGAAAATAGACACAACTGTTACTACCTCTGGAACTTCCAGTTCTCCACTATCAATCTGTTTAATTAGATCTTGAGGATGACAACCATCAATTGTACATCCTACAGATTGACTTGTTCCAAGAATTTCTTTTACTGTTCCAGACAACTTCCTAGCCATTGAACGAGGGCGCATTGTCCTTGCAATAGTAACTATATCTTCAAAGGTAATATTGCCATTATGTTTCACTGAAAGAAGAAAAAAAATTAAAAGGATATACATTATGGTGTTACCTCTTTCATAATGTATGGGTGGATAACACAACACACACATTGAGAAGTTAGAAAACTTTCTTAAAATGAAGAATTCATTAAGTAAAATTTTTTTCAACTCATTTCTAATTCAAATTCCAAAAGAGTAACACTTATTTACATATCACTTTACTTTTAATTTACAGGTTGTATATATTAATTCCAAGAAAGAACAAAATGCCACATTATTATTTATAACAGACTCACAGAAAACAAATTAGAAAAACCATACTTAATAACACTATTTAAAGGAAAAGACTTTAATTGCCTCCCTAATAAACTGAAATCTAGAAAAATAGGATTCAGTTTTTATTCTGTCATGTACCAATTAAATTTGCCCAACAAGGTTCTTTCAGTTCAGAGTTTACAAGATATAAATTTAATACACATAATTTAATATTCTCAACATTCAAACTTGATACTTAAACATTTTCCTCTAATTTAGCTATTTCATCATTTTAATCAATTAATGAAATCATCCAGTTCAAATATTCTTGTCAAAACATTTGCACATGAAAGGAGCTAGGCCTCCATTAGCAAAACAGAAAAATACATTTTGGCAACATATATTGGTTCTGAATATTTAAGTTATCACATTTATATAGGTTATGGTCCCTACTACTGACTGACTATGCAAAGCTGACAAATGCATAATAATGCAAGTGTTTTTCAGTTAATGCAATACTTCATCCTCTCAAATGAATGCTCACAGCCCATAGCAGTCTGTCATGGAATAGCTCCCATGATATGCTACTATAGTAAGCAAGGATGTAATATTTGGGATATTCTGGAAGGAAGCTAAGCGAATAAATGTGGAACTACTTTTATATATTTTACTGAAATTTCATAAATATCTTAGCTTGTTAAGTCATTTCTATTCAATCATGTAATTTAAAAAATGTTTTATTTTATTAGAAAATATATTCTTAGTGATCAGTAGTTTCTCATACAAAGTTTTCTCTTACAAAAATATGAAATCCAAAATTGTTTTAAACAATTTAATTTTCTTTAATTTTGGAACAGCACAAATTAACAGAAAAGTCTTCTTTTAACAGATTTAAAATTTTATGCATCAGTTTATAAGCATTTAGTACAAAAGGTTCATAAATAATAAAACAATCATAATATTTTGCATGCACTTTGTCTACCAAAAAGGACACAAATATTATGGAATATTCCATACACCCAAATGATGAAGTAAAATCAAGAATCTCCCATTTGAGCACTGACAGCCTAATCGGCATACACAACTTCACACAAGAAACAAACATTTGGAATACAGTTGGCAGCAGCTTTCTTTCTATCAATATTATTATTTCTTCCAGTTTGATTCTACATTGACAGTAAATTCATTCACAAAAATACTCTTCAGGAAAATAATAGTGATAATGACGCATGAAAATTTCACAAAAAAATGATTTTAATTTATCTAGTTACATGAACCAAAAAGGTCGAAATCATAAAAAATTTGAAATGGGCACTTTGCATTTAATAATAAATTAAGAATTTACTTTTTAAATAAGAATTTTTGTTTATAATGTGTGCTCATTTCGGAGAGAAAACAACATATGAAAATGGGATTCGTCTAATTTTCTGATGTTATACGAATAAAATTAATGTTAATTACAAATGCATTTTCATGAAATTTTATATAAAAGTTGCTACCAAAAAATTATATTTTTATGCATCATTATTTCTTTAAAATGTGCAATAACATACTTTAAACATCATTATGATTACCTCTCATCCGTAAGTAAATCTTTGGAAAAGATAACTCATTTTAACAAAATTTTAAAAAGTACATGACTTTCTATGCATGCAAATACTATTTGCACATGCATGTGTTTTCAAAACAAGATGAAAGGGCATACCGCCAACTGGAATTGAGCTGTAGACTTCCTGGAAAAGCTGCTGTTTTCAACAGATATCATCAATGCTTATAGCAAGAGGAGGAATTTAAATACCAGGTATCTCACTATTAATGTTTTCTACAGCAGAGTTTCAGCAAACTACAACCATTTTCGGACAAGGCCATAATATGAACGAAAAATCTGACATTTAATTTTATTCCAACATCCCATTTAACAATTCACTGGGGGGGGGGCAGATTGAATGCACACAGATATATTGACAATGCTTAATGAAATTTATTTTCAAAGGAAACACTTTATAGTTCTGGAACTTTTCACAAAAGTACTCTTACAGTTCTTCAAGACAGCCATTTACCTTAATGTTGAATGGACTTGCCCCTGTAACTTTCTTTTTCTGGCCAAGTTTCACATTCTTGAGGTCTTTTGTGTTATATTATACAAGTATTAGATATAATAAATATAACTAAAATTATTTTTACATATACAAAATTCATAACAATTATGTTTTACTTGTACATTTGAGTATAGCGCAGTCTATATATGTCACAAATAATTTTTAAAAGCACATTTAATATCCAAAAGGTTCGTACACATTTCTGCATGTGGAAATTAAGTACTTTTAAGGACCATCATTGAAAAAATTAAGCACCTCTCAGCACCTAGGTGTTAAATTTCTTTTCATATTCAAAAAATACTTGCCAAAAGATTAAACATGACCAGGCTTAAGCATGTGCAGGAAAAATATGCAAGTATAATACAAAACTAAACTTTTTAATTCAAGCTTAACTTGGTCCTTGTGTCACAGAAGCTAGGAAAAATTTAGTGGAACAACATGTCTTTACTCACAATTCCCATGATACGCTGACAATAACATACAACAGATGCTAGCGAAGCTTTATGATTATAGATGTGATTCTGTAGGTATTTCCAATATCACACACACACAAAGCAAAATGAGAAGGATCAGCAATGAATGAAGATGACATAACAAATTTTTTATAGAAATAACACTACATCAACCATCAAGTATAAGTATGTTTCACGGAAGATTCATATGTATTACAGAAATATAAATTCTAATTGTAAAGGAAGTTAATAACTTTGAATTACATACTTACAAATGTCTGATACGTGCATATTGGCTATATGGTACCTATCCCCATACTACTTGATAAGAGTACTCTAGCTGATGTGTTTTGTAAAATATCTACAAGACACATAACAATTTCACTGGCATGTCGGTCTCCACAGCCACAGTAATCTTGTTTACAGATATTGGGTACAAATACTTTGATTTTCATTTACCATTTTATGAAGATCATCAGACCAGGTAAGCTGAGCAAAATTTGTCCAAAATCACATTTATTAGGATATAAACCTAGCTATCAGTGTTCAGCAGTTTACCACTCATGGGCTCTTTTTCGGATAATTTTGAACATTATAAACATCTTCACATTTTAGATTCCTCATGTTATGCTACTGACATTTTTTCTAAAAATCTATTTGTTACATCCTTCACACATGTTATGTTTGTAAAAATATTGCACCTAATCTTCTGTAAGAAAATATTGTTTTGGGAATCAAATATAAATCAAGTACCTTAATCGAACTGAGATTCAAATGTAAAAATTGGAAGACTTTCCTAATATATTTTGTATGTTTCTTATGTGTTGCATTTGGGAGAGAATTCCAGATTTTACTAGATACACAAAACAATTTAAAAAAATTACATATTAACCTTTTCAAAAACACAGTATATTTGAGATTTTGAGATTTGGGCTATCAATTTATTCAATGTGTTACATTTCTTAAAAAACAAACATCACACAAAAATGCAATACATTTTATAAAAAATTAAACTATAATTTGTTAGTATTTAGGAACCTTCTGAACAAAAGTATCTAAGCTTGTGGCTAAATCTGGCTTTGTTGGCTAAATCTGGATACCTAATATAAACACACACACACAAAAAAAAAGCAACATTATTTTCTGCACAGGAAAACTTGAGAAAGCCTTTTTCATGTGCATTTTTTACTTTGTGATAAAAAATTAAATGCTCTCTGTAATTTTCAGGACTACAAAATGAAGCGAAGTGTCCAATTTAGCAAATAATTTTTGCAATACAACACTGTACATCTTTTTTGCGAGGTCTAGCTAGAAATTTTATTACACATTTCACATGAGAATCAGCCGAATTTTCTATTTTCACTCCATTGTCTTTTATAGAAGTAAGTTAGAAAATTATTATAAATCAAAGTGAAAAAGACGTCACTTAAAGATAAAAAGAGGAATATGAGCGGAAAATAAATCCAAAACAAAACTTCAAATGCTGGCATAAAAATTAGACGCCAAAAACAGTTTCCGGCGGTAGCTTATTCCAATTGGTTGAATGTCTTCAGTTCCCGACGGGTTTTACCTGCCCGTCTATGTAAGGAAGGAAAGGTTCCATAGATGTAATGCCATTACGTCGATAGAAAGCAGAGGGAAAATTCGCCAAGACATTTGGTGACAGAACCTAGCAGCCAGAATTTCCCTCTCCCCGATGTGTACAGAAAATTGAGGAACTCGTGTTAAGAAGGAACGTTCTTTGACAAAACGTTTCTTCTTTGATTTTTCGTAGGTTCCCATCCTTAAAATAACTAAACCATTCATTAATTTACTTGCAAGAAACGTATTTTCCTTTCCTTTAATGTAAAAAAAAATAAATAAATAAAATAAAAATAAAAATAACTATATTCATTTTATGAACTCTTGATAACGTAACATTCAAACTTCGACACGGGCTTAGAGCTTTGGTGACAGATATTTCCCTCTATGTTGGAAGAGACAGATTTGTTTTATCCGAGAGTAAGTATTTTGTTTAGTTCAACATGCACTGCACATGTGCATGCGCATGCGATTCTCAAGGTTACTGGAAAGCAAAGCTGCTGGAAACTTGTTTTGCCTTTCTAACAGATAATCTAACTGGAGCTGTGAAAATTGGCTCTATGCCAGCTGCCCTAATGACGCTCATGCGACACACAATTCGCCAAGAAAGTGATCGCTTCCAACGTCAGCGCAAAACTC